TCCTTCCTTCCTTCCTTCCTTCCTTCCTTCCTTCCTTCCTTCCTTCCTTCCTTCCTTCCTTCCTTCCTTCCTTCCTCTTTCCCTTCCTCCCTCCATAAATTCAATCCCTTCCAGCACTGATGATGTTACCTAGTTAGGATGATGAAACGTCTGGAAGAAAACCAGCAAGCTCAGAGAGCACCAAGGACCCCATAGTCCTTCTTTCCTCCCTCCCTCCCTCCCTAAATTCAATCCCTTCTAGCATTGATGATGTTACCTAGTTAGGATGATGAAATGTCTGCAAGAAAACCAGCCAGCTCTGTTGTTACGGTCGTAAGTCCAGGACTACCTGTACAACATTCAGAACTTCTGCTCAGTCCCGTATCATCCCCCCCCAGTGTCAGCCTTTTATCATAAACAGCCCAATCAGCCCTACTTCCAGGTTTATATCCGTCCCTTCGCCGTGTGTCCGTTCGAATAGACGTGTGTGTTTCCAAAACAAGCACCCAATTTTCTAAGCAGGTAATCATCATAATCTCCCGGGATCCAAATAGCCCAATCACCCCTTTATACTCTTCTCATCTCTCATTCCTGCCCGTCCACCGATGTCACATAAGAGGGTGTTTTTTTTTCTCCCTGGATTGCCTTTATTCAGAACAGCACACAATTTTCCCCAAAGCTCATATGCGATTCTACCATTATTAGCATTTAATGGAACATCATGTGCACCTGTCACCCACCTGTAGACTTCTCCTTTGATGTAGGCTCTCAGCATCCTAGGTGACCCCAGATTTGTACTCTTCCGTTACACGTTTTAGCTCTTTCATTCGCATTGATATCTTGACGTTCCTGCGTGTGTAAGTAGGCCTCAACGTACAGCGGTTCGTTTAGTGACTGTTCAAAGTTACAGTGGCACTAAAAAAAAGGGACTTATGACCGTTTTTCACACCTACGACCGTTGCAGCCTCCCCACGCTCATCTGATCAGCATTCAGACACTGGGCAACTGATTCATATTTATGACGGCCGCAGTTCCCCCCGGATCATGTGAACAGTTTCATGTGAACTGTGGCAAGAAAGGTTGTAAAATGCCACTCCCTTCTAGCACTGATAATGTTACCTAGTTTGGGTAATGAAACGTCTGCAAGAAAACAGGCAAGCTCAGAGAGCACCAAGGACCCCATAGTCCGTCCGTCCTTCCTCCCTCCCTCCCTCCCTAAATTCCACTCCCTTCTAGCACTGATGATGTTACCTAGTTAGGATGATGAAATGTCTGCAAGAAAACCAGCAAGCTCAGAGAGCACCAAGGACCCCATAGTCAGTCCCTTCCTTCCTTCCTTCCTCCCTCCCTCCCTCCCTCCCTCCCTAAATTCCACTCCCTTCTAGCACTGATGATGTTACCTAGTTAAGGTAATGAAACATCCACAAGAAAACAAGCAAGCCCAGAGAGCACCAAGGACCCCATAGTCCTTCCTTCCTTCCTTCCTTCCATCCCTAAATTCAATCCCTTCTAGCACTGATGATGTTACCTAGTTTGGGTAATGAAACATCTGCAAAAAAACAAGCAAGCACCAAGGACCCCATAGTCCTTCCTTCCTTCCTTCCTTCCTTCCTTCCTTCCTTCCTTCCTTCCTTCCTTCCTTCCTCCCTCCCTCCCTCCCTCCCTC